CTTTGTCACCCAGACTATCACTGTGTGTATCAACTACCACGGATATTGTTAGTGTGGGTAACAGAGTCTACCACTAGCACGCCATGTCATGTTGACACTATATTTAGCGGTGTACGTCTATAATACCATCGTCTTACACAATTTATCTTCCTCGGACTGTAGACTGTACAAGTGAAAATTTGCTACAGTTTCTCGGAAATTCTATCGAAAACGTCTAAATCACATAAAAATCCACGTCTTTCATCGTCTTGCACAGTTTGTCTTCCTTATGCCGTAGACTGAACATGCGTAAACTTGCTGCAGTTTCTCGGAAATTCTATTTTTATTTTCGTTTTGATATAATGACCTTCGGCATTTGCCTTTGTCACCCAGACGATAACGGTGTACGTCAACCACCACTGATATAATATTATGAATGTATGTTATGTATGCATGTCAAGTACAACTGATATTGTTAGCGTGGGTAACAGAGTCTACCACTATCACGCTATATCATATTGACACTATATCTAGCGGTGTACGTCTATAATTATAATATTATGAATGTATGTAGTATGAAAGTAGGTCAACTTATAGTGAGATATAATATAATGTATAATGTTTATACGTTTACACAGCTATAATTCCACGTGTTCCTCTGTATGTCTCCAACTTGGTATATTCAACAATGTAGTAATATATCAACTTGGTATCTTTAACAATGTAGTAATATATCAACTAGTTAATAAACCTCTAGATATAATATACACGGCTGGGTCCACATGGCGCTATATCCTTACTTAGAAAGTTCATCGGGACTCTCCGATTTTAGTCCCATATGCTCCATCCGAACGACTAGACGGTGTTCCTGCAGGACTGACAGAGGGACACCAAGCCGGAAAATCCCGAATAGCTTTCTCAACCGACACTGGCATCAAACCCATAACCCCCTGGTTAACGAACGAGTGTCTTACTCACTGAGCCACCGCGACTCGCTTGATAATATAATACGTGACGTAATATCAAGGTTAATTTACGTCCGCTTCCATTGAGATGATACCGTAGACAATAAATCAATGTCTAAGTATTCTGATATTAACATATTGATGGTCGTGGTAGTCAACGAGTCAGGGGATTGAGTTCGAATCTCGAGGCTGGCTCGCTACCCTGGAGGTTGGGTGTTCGATCTCTGTATTGGTCGAGAAAGTTAAATTCATCCAGATTTTCCGTCGTGATTCCCCCTTGTCAGTGATTGAGGACGGAGGGCCTGACAAGGACCGCTGTCTAGTCGTTCGGAGGGTCCGAAAATCCGAGGTTCCGTGTACACATTGGCGTGTACGTAAAAGATCCCTTGACAGTTGGAATTCGATATAAGAGTAGGCCGTAGTGTCGCTGCCCGGACAGTGTATACTAGGCGGACATTTTTTTTATATTCTTACGGTGGAAACGGACGTTTAGTTGAGAGATTACTTCCTAATGTCAAAATAAATTATTATTTCCATAATTATGTGCTGTGGTTTATTGTTTAAAATAAACTTATTTTATTACAACTGTTGATGCGGGGGGGGGGGGGATTTGAGAACAAACAAATAATCAGTATTTTACAATGGAGAGGGAGAAGATAGGGTTAAACGTTCACTCGAAACAAACTAGGTAATTTCGGGACTAACATATACAGTGTATTTCAATTTTTTCAATAATACGCTTGCACGTAGGGCTGGGACCGGGGGACAAGGAGATAACCCAAGAGGCTGGACAGGCGACCCTACACCTTGTCACATACAACCGGGGAATCGAAACCACGCCAGTTGACTCAATGACAGATCTTATGAAACACCCAGGGCTGGATTGGGCCATCGGCCGGTCAGACAAAAAATGAAAAAAATAATTTGGTGCAATTCGTCTAATAAAACCTTTTTCTTCTGAACATTATATGGGGGGGGGGGTGTATTGAACCGGTCATGCAGCGATGATGATCATGTTGTATGTGGCCGGTAGCTTTAACGGGCCACCACGCCATCACTGGAGTTTGGAATGGGCTGGTATAATAGACTTTCTGGGCCGGGTGTGCTGGGTGTGGGCCGGAATTCGGAATCCGAAAATTTCACCGGATTCACCAGACACTTTCACCGGCAAATTTACTAATTATTAAGTCCCCTGTACCCTGTTTCTGGGGATACGTCAGAAACGTCTGCCGATCGTTTGTAACTCAAAAAAAATTTTCAATTTTAAGGCCTCAGCAAAATTTGATGATAGCCAGTCTGCTTGCTGAATATGAGTGCTAGACGATTTCCTGAGACTGGTGTTAAACATTCCTTAACATTTTTTTTAACTCGTTATTTACAGAGATGAAATTACAGAATTGGGATGTCGGGAATGGTCTCAAATTGCGGGAAATGGCCTCCCATTTTTCAAAATTTTCCCTGGGGAGAGCACCCGGACTCCCCCATCCGGGCTCCGCGATCAGTAAAAGGGGCCGCTCCGACACGGGACCTCGGGCCGTTTCCCGGCCCCAATCCGCCCCTGGATACAACACGCACGCGCTAACCATTCGGCCATCCAACACCCTATTTTACAGTGGGTAGCGACTAATAAAACATAATTAAGGTGAAAGAGAGAAATGGGGTTTAACGTCCACTCGACACAAAGTAGGTCATTTCGTGACTAACACATGGTTCAATTTTATTTTAATCATTCGCTTGTGCGTAGGGGTCTTTAGCAGTGGGAGAAAACCGGGGGACCCGGAGTAAAGCCACGAGGTTGGACAGGCGACCCTACTCCTTGTCACGTACAACCGGGGAATCGAAACCCCGCCAGTTCACTCAATGACAGGCCGTATGGTACAGCGCGCGTGCTAACCATTCCGCCATCCAACCCCCCATAATTAAGGTAGAGAAAATTAAAAGAAGGTTTTGATGTAACATCATTTACAGTTAAATATTACTTTAAATTGCGTTTTAGAGTTCGAATCACGCCATGGGCCCGAGAAGAACTCGTTCTCGCTTTTCAGGGAGGCCCCGGCGGAATTGACAAAGGAAATGTGCCTAATCCATCGGATAGGGTAAAAAGCGGCATTCCAGGCAAAGTTCACCATCGTATTGCACGCCTGGCGATTGAAAAGAAAAATACATTAATTAGTCTTAAATTGAGGAGACGTTAAACCCCATTCTAGTATTATATATATTGGGTGTGACTGTGATAAATACGGGGTTAAATGTACTGTCATGAACTGGCGTGGTTCCCCCGTTTTCCATTGTGCAGGACTTTGGGCCTGGCAATAGATAACACCTAGTTGTTCCGACAGTTCTTGTCTACTCAGGCGTGCAGGTATTGGAATTCCGTGTAAGAGTAAGCTGTCGCGCCGCTCTCCAAGACAAGATTATTTATATATAATTATATATCAATAGGTGATGTATTTTTATTATATATTCTCACCTGGTACAATAATTGATTGTTTTATAAACTTGGACGACATTAGTCACCCTATCTATTTTACTATAAAACTGCAACAATGCAGGATAAATGGATATGGATCATCCTGTCAAGGTTTGTAAATTTGTGTAACGAAACAGCTGACCGACAGCCGACAACTCTATACGCCTATATTACGCGTGGGTGTATATAGAAAAATTGCAAATAGAAAAAAAAGTGAGGAGTCCTTCCGTATTCGTGACTGAGACATTCTCCTATTGAACACCAAAACCAAATTTAAATAAAAGAAAGATGGTCAAATTCACGCTGATATGGATTTTAGCAAATTTCATGAAATTCGGGCAATAACTCAGCCCTGTATATAGCTTTGATACGTTTTATGTGAAATCAAGGGCTATAACTCTAAGCATGTTCATAATTATGATGTCAGTAATTAGTAATTAGTAATTCTTTCCCCAGGTGATTTTAATGTTAAATCTATGACATGCCTTGGCCTATAACATTTTTTCTAATATGCCCCGACCGGGCGTGTTGAATTACCCAATAACACCCAATTAATAATACCCAATAATTCCAACTGCCAAGGCATACGTGCATCCCAATGTATACACGAGACCTCGGTTTTTCGTCCCATCCGAACGACTAGATAGCTGTCCTTGGCAGGCCCTTCGTCCTGCACCACTGACAAAGGTAAACCACATCGGAAAATCCAGATGAACCGCGACCTCCATGCTTACAAGCCAACGTCTTACTCACTTAGTAAGCTAGCACCCTTTGGCTCCCTGTTTAGAACGGAATTAGGTTAATGTCTCGATCTGCCACTTTAAGCGATTGGAATCACTTGTAAACTACAGCAAACTACTGTTCTGCTCCCACTGTGCTAACGAAAACGGGCATACGCCATACAGTGTGCTATGAGGGACACTTAGAGCGGACAGCGGCGCTGCGGCCTACTCTCAAGGAATCTTCAACGTGCACGCCACATACACGAGACTTCGGTTTTTTGTCCCATCCGAGCCATTTCGTCCCTGGTTAATTAGTATTTTGTATTATTTGATTTTTTAGGTTAATAGATGATCCAGTGCCCGCAGATGATACGTGTACAACAAAATTTACAATAAAATTCAATATAAAGTGTACAATAAAATTTCAATACATAACAATTTCATAAATATAACAAATTCAATGATTCTCTGTGGCAACAATTCCATGGCGATTCTTCCCCACACGGATATCCCGCCTGAAAAATCCTTCGTTAATGCTTTTTTGTTGTAACTGAAAAAATAAATATTTGATTGTTAATATATTTTAGTGTACAATTTACTTTGTTGTTTATTAATAAACGGGCCCGCTCTAGCGTGGAGATGTTCCGAAATGATAAAGCTAATGTGTCCCGAAAGTAAACTATGTCGTGTGGACGACTTAACCAACGTATTTGGGCACACAATTGTACTTTGTAAAAATTGTATAAAAAAAATATTGTGTTCTTGAATGTGTCCAATTTAACAGCGAATTTATTATTATTATGTAACATACTAAGAACCTAACTACATTTTTTGGGCACCAACCACCACCGCCCGCCCCCCCCCCCCCAGTCAAAAATTTCCCCGTACGCCTATGTGGACGACTGCACCAACGAGTGTGGACGACTTCACCAGATTTTTCGTGTGGACGACTTTGCTCGTGGACGACTTAACTGATATTCCTCTTGCCATGCCTTCGAACCTGCACCTGCTTCTTTTTTTTCTTTTGAACATACAATTATTTCGGTGGGTGCATGGGTATTTTGTTTATACGACACAGTATGAAAGTGCCATTTAACGAAAACGAAAGATGATTAAGATGCCAAGTTATGGCAACTTAAAAGTAAATAGCACGATCTGCTTAGTCACATAATAGAGTAATTAATTTAGAAGCTTCACACAGAACGATAATTTGCCTTACACCAGAGAATTTAGTAAGGCAGAGTAGGGTGAAGCTTGGTGATTTTATTTATATTTTCTTTTCTTTTCTTTTTGTATAGAATTGGTATATCAGATGGTTGGAGATGTTGTTGATATAGGGATGCATTCTGTTGGACCATATGATCCAGAGGTAGAGATACATGATATGGAAGGATTTTGTGGAATGTATATTGTTTATATGTGTAGCAGCAAAGGATTTAAAGTGCTGTAATTTAGGGCAGTGTAGAAATAAGTGACTGTAGGTTTCATTATTTTTCTTGCAGTATTGACATTTATAGTCATCTACGTAAATATTTCGAGTGTGGAGAATATCTTTTGTGGGAAATGCATTGTGTATTATTTTGTGCATAAATTCTTTTTCTATTTCAGATAGTGTTGGACATTTATATAAATTATGCCAAACTTTTTCAAAATTTATATGAGGTAGGTGTTTGTTTATTTTTGGTTGTACGTTCTTACTATCAATGAGTGACCAGTACAAGTACAGACTTTTTCTTTAATCGATAGGTTGTAAGTAGACCAGTGACTAATAGTTGATTTAATCGTCATGATGAGGGGTAACCATATTTTTTTCCATTTTATTGATCTCAGAACAAAAGCCCAGTAATTTAATTGTGTCTGTTTTAATGTTTATGTTTATATTTTCAGGAAATGAGTCATGGGATGGTTTACGAACACCAACATGGTGGATTTCGGTTTTATCTTAATTTAGTTGAGAGCTATATACGGAGCCAACATTTATACGTAAGGAATAAAGAATCGTGGACAACCTTGACGGATCGAACGATTATTTTTGATATTTTGAGAGAAATATCCATTTACTTGAACTTTACTTTTCAAATTTTTAAACAGTATTGTAACCCAATTTACAATGTCATTTGGAAAATTCATATGTTTTAGTAGGGTTTTTATATAATTGTGTTCAATACGGTCAAAGGCTTTTTTCCTAATCAAACGATAAGATATAGGCATTAGTTTCATGTGTGTCTAAATAATTTAGGATTGAATCAATTAAATACAGGTTATCGAAGGTGCTTTTATTTGGTCCGGCTCCCGTTTGTGTTTTAGAGATCAATTTGTTAATAACTGTGTTCATTCATATACTTAATATTTTTGTGATGATTTTATAGTCGACACATAACAGGGTTATTTGTTCTTAAGTAATCGGTGGTCGCCTTTATTCTTATAGACAAACAATTTATTCTTATAATTAATTATTATTATACCGGTTCTCATTGGGTTAGATAATTCACCCTGTAGATAGATGTTGTTTATTACTTCTGTCAGGTCGGTTCCTATTGTGTCAAAGAATTTGATATAGAAATCTCCTGGAATACCGTCGATGCCTGGGCTACGGTTTGATCTGAAACTTTGTAACGCCTTCAGATCTTCATCTTTAGATATGAAATGAGACAGGGAATCTCTTTCCGTGTTAGTTAGGGTATTTATGTTACTGTTTTCAATATAGGAGTTTATTAGGTTTTCGACAATGTTTTGGGTAGTATATAGTTGTTGGTAATATTGGTGAATTGTGTCTAGAATATCTTGTTCATTATCAAATACTGTATTATTTTGATTGATTAATTGTTTAATTTGCTTTTTAGCACTGTTTTTGACCTCAGCTAATTTATATATTTTAGAATATCGTAACCTTGTATTGTATTTTGTTCTATTATTTCGATTTTTGTTTGAATTTCATGCATTGAGTTAGTATTCATAGGTAGTATGGAAGTAGATCAACTTATAGTGTGATATATATTGAGACTATATTTATGTTATATATATGAATGCATATCTAGCACTATGCATATCTAGCGGTGTATTATGAATGTATGTTATATTAAAGGACGACGGATATTGTTAGTGTTGGTGACACGGGCTACTCCTAGATCTATCTTTATAATAGTATTAACATGTCACGTTTAGATTATATTTAGAGAGAAAGATAGATAGATATGGGGTTAAGTGGAGGGAAACCGCAGTTCAGGACCCGGAAAAACCCACGAGATTCGTTGACACGTATATGTGGGGAACCTACTCCATGCAGATTGACTCTATGTATATGATAGACCAGGAAAAAACCCACGAGGGTGGACAGGCTACCCTATTCTGTGTCACGTACATGCGGGGAACCGAGTCCACGCCAATTGACTCTATATGATAGACGTTACTCACTGAGCCATCGCGACTCCCTTGATAATATAATACTTGACATAATACCAAGGTTAATTTACGTCGGCTTCCATTGAGTTGATACCGTAGACAATAAATCAATGTCTAAGTATTCTGATAATAACATATTGATGTCAGGGAATTAAGTTCGATTCTCGAGAAGAACCTTGAGGTTTGTCAAGCCTGAGTTTCACCTGTCAGGGGTATAACGTCTATTGGGCTGACTAGTCCTTCGGATGGTTCCTACGTGTATACATTGGCGTGCACGTAAAATACATTCGATGAAACGCCGCTGTCAGGGCAAAATTCTTCTCATTAGCATAACATCCCTTAATAACAGAATAAAAAGCCGGTAGTATTGTGTTGTGTTAACGAAATGTTAAATTACATTCCTATTTTATTTTGTGGTTATATGACTAAAACGTCAGTTATATCAAGATAAGCCAGAATATTTTAAAGATACTTCACCGAAAACAAACCGTTCGATCAAGAAATAACAACCTCTCCCTCAGTTAAACTAGCATACAATAAGCCGTCGGGTTGGCTGTTAGTGATACCCTGACATTTTTGCTCAGTTCCTGTTTTTCGCGTAATCCAGTATTTTTCTAGTAAGATTGGGCGTCTAAACTTTTCATATATATCATGTCATACTGTTACTGGAAATAACCACCTGATAAATATATTTGTGACAATGTATCTTTAATATCCTTATGGTTGAAGCGGATATTTAGTTGAGAGATTAATTCTCCAAATATTGCGGGAGGTTGCGTGACCGAAAGGTTAACGCATGCGCGTTGGATCATAAGGTCTGCAATGAGTCAAGTGGTGTGGTTTCGATTCCCCGCTTGTACGGGACAAGAAGTAGGGCCCATCCTCTTAATTTTGCTCCCACTTCTAAAGACCCATACGCATAAGCGAATCATTTACATAAAATTGAAAAATATGTTAATAACGAAACTCTCTCTCTCTCTCTCTCTCTCTCTCTCTTATTAAGGTGAATAATTTCTGTACATGTTAACTATTACCTACATCCTATATTATTTATATTATATGAACTATTATAGATGGCCAATTACTACTAAACCAAGCATATCATAGTATGATGTACTATTAATATTATATGAACTATAATAGATAACCAATTACTACTAAACCAAGCATATCATAGTATGATGTACTATTAATATTATATGAACTATAATAGATGGCCAATTAATACTAAACACAGCATATCATTGGTTTATAGTGGAGAATAATTAACATCAAAGTTTACTGTATTACAAGATATGATGGGAATTATTAATGTCTATAATCAGTATATTTCAAGTGAAATGAAATGAAATGGATTTTAACGTCCTACTGTTCAGCTCCGACTGGGCTAATGCAGTGTGCTATGAGATAAATTTTGTTCGGACAGAGGCTCTACGGCCTACTCTTATTTCCAATTCCAACTCTCAAGGGTTCTTTTATGTGCATGCCAATATGTACAATGGACCTCACCTTGGTGTTTCATCCCATCCAAAGGACTATACGTTGTCCTACATCACTGACAGGTTAGCGAGTTAACGTCTTACTCACTGAGCCACCGTGGCTCCCATGTGGAATGAATCAGAATTGTAACAAAGGTTAACCTAAGCTATATTGTACAAGTGATGTAATTATTTATAATGGGTATAACGAACATCTATTCAAGTGAAATGAATCAACATTAAAACAACTGCTATCATTAGACGAGTAATATAGTATTTTATGACTAAACGAAGTATCATAACATATAATTGATTGATCAATAGTAGAGGTCTAATAATATTGTAATGATATCATTCAGGTATATAATACATGATATACTAATGATATTGTAATGATATCAGTCAGGTATATAATACATGATATACTAATGATATTTATTTTAGCTTGTAATATATTTATTCACAGAATATAATTATACATTATAATATTTACAGTATTTTATAATTTCCACACCTTTAATTTATTTTTTTACTTATTCCCTGTTACTATATAAGACACACACAGGCAAAGTATTCGCTGTTACTATATAAGACACACACGGGCAAAGTATTCCCTGTTACTACATGTATATATGACACACAGGCAAAGTAAAATACAATAATATACAATAATTAAAACAAATATTTTTGATTATTTATAATATGTATAGTCTAATAGTTGAGTAGATATAAAAGAGTGAACAGTAAAATTATTTATAATGTGTATAGTGTAAGAGTTGAGTATGTATAAAAGAGTAAAAAGTAAAATATGATATATATAAATAAAATCATTGCCTGTATTTTGCACACCTATATACAATAGAGCGATACAGATTTTAAGTACATTTAGTGTCAATGAGAAAACCTGGTTTTAAATACTAATTATAAATTTCCATGTTTCAATTATTGCAATATTTGATGACTTTATAATTCAGAGGTGGCTGAGAATATCTTGTGAAAAGGTTTACAATAACCAATTTCCATGGTAATTTTTTGAGATGACTGGATGAGCACGACTAATATGATTTGTATAGTTTAGAAAGAGCTGCATAGTAGGGGCTTGTATCACTGACAAACATTGGGTGTTTATGTTAGGGGTTAAAAGAATATCTTGTGAAAAGGTTTACAATAGCCAATTTCAATGTTAATTTTTTGAGATGACTTGATGAGCAAGACTAAAATGATTTGTATAGTTTAGATAGTGCTGGATAATAGGGACTTGTATCACTGGTGTTTATGTTGGGGGTTAAAAGATGGGTCGAATGCTGGCAGACGGCAATTCGTCTGCTATTCTAGAGAGATATTTTCATAAACGATTTAAGTTGTCAATTATATCATCATTAAGGGTATCTAATTTAGTAACTTTAGATGTTATATTTAGGATTGAGTTTGTTTATTGTGATTTCTAAGTATGACAATTATCTTTTAGGCTTATTTCAAATCTAAAGTTATTTCTTAAACAAAGTAGATTTGTTCTATATTTGATTGAAATAGATGAATGACTTCGAAGCTCTTCGAAGGGGATCACGGTGGCTAGGTGGGTAAGACGCTGGCTCGCTAGTCTGGAGGTCGGTTTTCGATCCCTGCATTGGTAGAGAAAGTTCATCCAGATTGTCCGGTGTGGTTCTCCTTTGAGAGTGATGCAGGACAGAGGGCCTGACAAGCACAGCTGTCTAGTCATTGGCGTGCACGTAAAAGATCCCTTGACAGTTGGAATTCTATATGAAAAAAGACCGTAGTGCCGCTGTCTGGGCAATATTTTCCTCATATCACACTGTATGGCGCATGCCCGTCTTCATTAGTCAAGTTCGGATTTATGTCCACTCGAAACAAACTTGGTCATTTCGGGACTAACATATGATTCAATTTTATTTCCATAATCTCCATAAAGGGGTCTTTAGCTGTGGGAGGAACGTATCTTACGATATGATAAATGAAATGGGGTTTAACGCCCTACTGCTTCGACTGAGCAAATGAAAACGGCCATACGCCATGCAGAGTGCTATGAGGGAAATGTAACCTGGACAGCAGCGCTACGGCCTATTCTAATATCGAATTCCAACTGCCAAGGGATCTTTAAAGAGCATGCCAATTTGTACATGGGACTCGTTTTTTTCGTCCCATCCGAACGACTATACGTTGATGTCCGTGATTTGTTAAGAGCTCTATCTAATATTTATCAATGGAAAGCCTCGTGTTTACCGAGAGTCTGATAAAAAAAATAAGCTTCCTATGGACAAGGAACTGAATCACCATATCCATGAAGCTACCTCGTTATTCGTTACTCAACTTTATATTCGGGATCCCAATATGCAACTAGCCGTGACTAGAATGGATGGGTGCCAAGTATCCCCCAGTAGTATAAAACTGGGCCTTAGGGTTCTTCGAAGAGCGCCACCCCAGTTACTGGTCCAAGTTCTCATAAAAACGTCCAGTCGTTCGCAAATTCTTGAAATTTGGACTTGATGAAGAGTCCGTGCAAAAATTCAATCATGGCTTATGCCCGTCGCCATTAAATCGATTACTGCCGAAAAGAAGGGAGCTAACTGTTCTATTTAATTTTTGCATTTGAAGGAAAGTGAACTAACTATATCATAAATTTACCACCCATACAGGGTTCGATATCACATTTGTACCTGACAAAGGTTTACCTGTTCAATCTTTTGGGTTTCATCCGGAAATGAAATCGGGTTTAAAGAGACCATCCCGATTTTAACAAAGTCTCCGAAATAAAAGTCTGTGTTTGTATGCAATGTATGTACCGTGTCTCGCGATATTGAGTCGTTTGGACGTGAACGTCAAAACCGCTTATCCGGACGCGTCCTACTGTTCTGCTACAACTGGACTAATGACGACGGGCATACGCCATTTGGTGCTACGGCCTACTCTAGTATCGATCGAATTCCAACTGCCAAGGGTCTTTTACGTGCACGCCAATGAGTTCACGGGACATTGGACAACACCGGGATCAAACCCGCTACATCCATGCGAGCCAGCGTCATTCTCACTTAGCCACTGTGGCTCCCCGGTTTTCATACGAATCTTCCGTTTCTAGTTTCCCCCCCCAAAAAATCCAAAACAAACTGGCAACTAAATTTTTGAATTAAATCAGACACATTACATGTTAGCTCTGTCTGTCTTTCTGTTGGCATTGCCAGGTTTAGATGAAGCCCCCCTCCCCACCCCCACCCTCACGACAACAGGAAGATCAAAGTGTCTGTTAAACACTATTGAGGATAGTGTCGAATGTTTAAGACTAGAGTTAAAATATTATACACCATGGCCCGATGCCCCGCCCCCCGTCCAACCTCTTGGCCCGATGACCCCCGACCCCTATCATGGCCCGATGAGCCTTCCCACCCTCCACTCACCCATATCGAGCCGATGACCCTCATATCTTGAGACCCTCGTAGGTTTCAGCCTGCCAAGCCCACATGTGAATCTAGCACTGTCTGTTTGTTAACGAGAGAGAGAGAGAGAGAGAGAGAGAGAGAGAGAGTATATTCCCATGCTCCTGTACACTATGTGTTGATGTGTTGATGCAATGTCGAGAGATTTACCACAATTTAATTTATATGACATTTTCAGCTCTTAAGAAACATTCCTTTCGGAGATAAAGCTCAAGTACCACACTTAACATTTAAAATAAAAAAATATAACAACTCTTCCAGATCCTAGTGTAGTAAAGACAAGTAAAACAAAATTTTGAACTATAAAAAATGAAACGAAATAGGATCTGTCTTTTAAGTGGATTGTGTGTGACACTTTCAGATATCCACCATTTTGTTTATTATCAAGTTTTCGGGAATCCAAATTATTTAAAATTGATCTATGGGTACAAATCTTAAATCAGTAAAATACACAGTGTTTAAAGCCATTGTAGACTTGTCACTCTGCTTTATGCGCCACATTTTATTGGGCATGAGCTTTGTTTCCCGGGATGTGAAATTTCTGGTGTCAGGTCAATGCCAACGTCTGATTGATTGGTTGATTGGAATTCAGGTGGAAATAACATGGGATTTCGGTTGCAAAACCAAAGGATTTTTTTTTTTCGGGTTCATCATTTCTGCCCCTCCCACTCATCCGGCTCATAAACCTACACAAAATGTCGCGTTTCGTTTTATTTTGGAATGAGTCATAAAGTAAGAGGGGACTGGTTGACTGAGGGTATAGTATAGTCTCGATTTACCGGTGGAAAAACTCAAAAAAAGTCGCGATCAAAATCTCCAGCTCAATATTTAGAAAAGAAATGAAATGAAATGGGGTTTAACGTCCTACTTTTCTTCTCCGACTGGGCTGATAAAGACGGGCATGCGCCATACAGTGTACTATGAGGGACATTTTGCAGTCTTCACGTTGTCGGGCACGTAAAAGAATCCATGGCAACTGGAATTCGAAATAAAAGTAGGCCCCTCATTGCAGTCGGTGGTGATAAGTAAGACGTTAAATTTCATTTCATTTCACTTTGTCAAGTTTCAAAAG